CACTGCTCCCCCCACACTGCAGCTCTGCTTTTCATCCTTCAACCATCCACCCAGCCTTCTCTCTTCCTCGCCCTTCTCCACTTGCTCCCTTTCCTATGTGTGCCTCCTCTCCTTGCCCACTCACTTCTTCCTTTCCTTCTGCTCCAATCCTGTTTTATTCCCCTTCCTTGTCCCTATGCAGAGGGACTTGGGACACCTGGGTTCTGTTCCCATCCCTGCTACTCTGACCTGGTATTTCCCATCCCACCTGCCCTCTTCTTGGTAGATTGTAAGCTCTTTGGGGTGGGCTCTTGTCTCTCTTACTCTGTGTTTGTACAGCACCTCGCACAATAATAATACCTTGCTCTTATGTAGTGCTTTGCATCAGGTCTCAAACTGGTTTACAAAGGAAGTCAACATTACTATCCCCATTTTATAGATGGGGAAACTGAGGCACAGAAAGTTGAAGTGACTTGTCCAAGGGCACACAGTGACAGAGCAAGGAATAGAACCCTGGTCTTCTCAATCCCAGTTCAGTGCTCGGCCCACTAAGAAACACTACCTCCTGGATCTCAGAAGTTACTAGCTACTATCCTAACAGAAATTATACTAATCCACATTCTTGGTTCATTCCATTAGGGAGTTAGACTCACAAGAGGGCTGGTAAGAGATGGATCTTTATTGCCAGGCCCCAGATCTTGCAGGGGTTAGGGTTACATGCCAGGCGCTGTTTTCCACTCACTACAGTGGCTTCTGTTACAAGAACCATTTGCAAAAACTTGGCTTTGGATGCATGTTTGGCTATTAAATACCTCAGAGGGATTGGACCCAGGGTTTCCAACTGGCCTCTTAGAAGGATAAGGACTATGTGCGAAACTTGGATATGTAGCTGAGTTTGGATTTCCGTCATCACAAAGTTCAGATACTGCCTCAGATCCCCAGCTGGTATAGGTTGGTGTGTTCCCATTGAGCTGAGACGCTGGCCCATAGCTTCATAGATATTCAGTGTTGAAGCTGGTTCATAGTGTGGCCAGCTCTCCCGATGTTCTGGCAAGTCTTAACACACCAAGTATGACTAGTAAAGCCCCAGCTCCTGGAGACATGTGATTGTGTGAAAATCTTGGCTTTCATTAGAAGACAAAAGTGCATATGTAGCTCTCATGGTGATGGAAAACACCCTGGAAATATGATCGGCATGTGACCTAAAGGCTCAGAACCCAGAAGGCAAAGAAAAAGAACCCTACATTTCTTCTTTTTAAGCCAAACTATTGATTTTTGAGACAATCTTGTGATTTTTTTATTATTATTTTTGGTGATCTGGCATAAGAACATAACATAAGAACGGCCATACTGGGTCAGACCAAAGGTCCATCTAGCCCAGTATCCTGTCTTCCATTGGCAGCGGCCAATGCCAGGCATGATATTTGAATTTGTGGGGATGGTGATACTGGGTTATTAATTTATGGTGTAACACTTACTCTCAGAGAAGTATCCTTGTCAAGTGGGACAAATGCTCTGGGCTCATCAATGGGAGCCTGTAGGAGCCACTTGTCACCGAAGATGAAGGGCATTTCCACCAGTCCTGAAGGCATTCCCAGGGTTTCTGCCCCCCGGCTGTGCAGTCCACCCTCCTCTTTTTGTCCCTCCGAAAGCAGGCATGCAACTCATCCTCCTGGAGTGCTGTCTGGGGAAGGAGAGCCTCTGCCAGCCCCTTCCTGCCCCTTTGAATGGGAGCTTCCAGGATGCAGCTGAAATGGGTGAATTGAAGGAAGTGAGAGAAGGGTCCCAAGCGGGAGTCACAACAAGGCTGGTGGAAAGCTAAATTCAGATGAGAGAGAGAGAGAGAGGGGGCTCAGGATGAGCTGTCCCCATCCTGGCTGTTCCTTTAGTTTGGGAAGGGCCCACCTCCTAATGGGTGCTACAGCTACCACTAATTATACCTAGTTTTTATCTAGTGCTCTTCCTCGGTAGATCTCAAAGTGCTTTACAAAGGAGGTCCGTCCCTTTTTACAGGTGGGGAAATTGAGGCACAGCAAGGGAACACAACTTGCCCAAGGTCACCCTGCAGAGCTGGGAATAGAACCTGGGTTTCTGCTTTATCCATAGTCTATTCTCTAAATTGTCTGCCTCCATAATTCTCTCTACCCTGCAGGCTTCACAAGGTACACCCGTCACAACAGCAATATCAATGCCCCTCTGCTATGCTGTAGCAGATATCTGGGTCCTCCAGCTGAGTTTCCTGTTGGAGGAGAAATCAGTGATATGGAGCCAGGGTATTTTCTTAGTGGAACTTGTTTATTTACACTATATACACCAGTCCTAGAACAGAGATGATCACAAGCAGCATGCAAGCAATCCCCTCTCTCAAGAATCTCAGCCCAAACACCGATGCCCAGTTCCGAGGGAGAACTCAGTCCTGAGAACTGACTCTAGTTAGAGAGATTCGGGCATAGAGCAAACTTTCCTGTGATTTGCAACAGCTGCCCTGAGGCAAACCTGCATCACAAAAACTAATAGCAAAAGAGCATATCTTCAAAGACTGTACACTTGCTCCTACACTGAAAGGGGCGGGGGGAAAGAAACCTTGTAAGACTGTGTAACAGGGACCCGACTGACTCCTGCAAGAACAGTTATTTCTGTAAGGCAGAATAATCCATCCCACTGCAACTGTGGTCAGAAGCATGTAAATACATCATCTGGAATTTAAACAGGGCAGTGGGATTAATACACCTCTCCTACTGTATGAGCTCTTTAATGACCAAGTGGGCCAGACCTCAGTTTCACATCTCATCTGAAAGATGAATGAGACACCTTCCTTCATCCTTCTGATGTAGATACCTGCATAGAACTCAGTTTAAGGGCACCTTGCAGGGGAGACAGTATGGGCTCACTGTCTTTCTGCATGCACATTAAAGATCTGGTGGCATTTTTGGACAGAGCACAGGTTGGCACAGGTGTCCTTGGCCAAAAGTTCCCTTCCTCCTCCTGATGTGAGCTAGTTTTCTGGCTGGCTGCTTCCCTGCACCCCAGAGGAGGCTGCAGTCCAGTAGTGCCACATGAGTATGGGTTGCTCAGTGCATTAAGATCTCTGGGGATGACAGGCACTATATAAATGTAAAATATTTGTCATTTTGGGTCCCATCCCACAGCTTTCACTCCTACTTCATTCTGGCCAACCATCCATTAAGGATGGCAAGGTATAGCTGTTATGACAGATTTATTATGCATAGAAAGGGGAGAGACCGTTTGCTTTTCCATCGCAGCTTTCCCATTCAAAGCATCCCAGGGCCAGATCCTCAGCTGGTGTAAATTAGGGTAGCTCCATTGACTGCTACAATGCTATGCTGATTTACACCAGCTGAGGATCTGGCCCCCAAAGGGCAGTGAGTGAACCATGGATAGTGTGTGTGTGTGTGGGGGGGGTAGTTTGGGTCTAGTACTGCCATTTGATTTTTTTTTTTATACCTGTTCCATAATTGAACATTTTTCTCTCAAGCCTAAGGGCCAAATTATGCTCGTCCTTCTGTGGATCCACAAAGAGGGATGCCAGGTACCTCCAACCCCATGCAGGAGGTAGCTGTACTTGGGCTGCGGATGCTAAAAAGAGCAAAGGAGGGAGGGGCCAGCACTGCCAGGGAGGTGTATTTGGGACCATGGGCTGGCCACCCCCCCCCACCCTGCACACAGCAGCCAGGGGTTTCAGGGGAACAGGAAGTGAGTGTAGATTGCACCTTTCCCATGCTTTGTATTAAGTGTCCTCTGCATAGCATATTATCCCCTTCCTTCTCGTCTCGTATGCGATGACCCCCTGGCTGGAGAGAAAAGTGCCATCTGTGCCATTCATCACTTCCCTGCAGAGGCAGAAGAGCCATGTGGCCCATTCTGGATCTCCCCTCTGACTGTGGGCTGGATCCCAAAGCCCAATACGTACTTCACTCCCTGAACTCTGGGGTTACCCCTAGCCCTGCTCCAGAGAGCCTCCAGAAAGCCCTGGCCTCCTGCTCAGCCCAAACTGCCAGCACTGGGTTTTGAGCTCCGGTAGGCTGCAGTGGGGATCCTACAGACCTGGCTGCACAATCCTAAAGGCCCAGAGATGACTATGTATGTAAACATGGCACCAGTAAGCCGCTGATTTGTATGGGCTGATTTGCAGAGGGGCTGAGCACTCACCGTGCCAGTCAGGTCATGAGCAGATGGCTCACCCAGGACCGTGGGCACTGGCCTTGACAAAGGAGGTTGTCCCTTATTCTTTCCCCAAAAGTGCCTGGGCTCCTTAGCTTCTCCCTGGACAGTCACTAGAAACCAGCCAAAGGAAGGTTTTGATTTGAGGTCCCATCCAACATCTAGCAGTCCAGCTTTCCCCTGGGGGAGCATTTTCAGCAGAAAGTGCACTTTCTGAACCTTCCTCAAATTTCCCCTGGCACATCATGGCATCTTGAAAGATACCCCGGGAGAGATAAAGAGCCCTTTGCCTTGCAGGGCACAGCTAGCTGGGAGGGAATGGAGTGCCAACAGACGTTGGTTGGCACATCCCATGCCAGCGCTCCAGGGCATAAGGGAAAGTGGGAGACTATCTGCTAACTGCCTTCTGAGAAGGTTAAACTGGGTTGTGTAGATTTACACCAGCTGAGGATCTAGCCCATTCTATCTGCTGGTGGCATCTATTAGTCTGGCTGTGGATGGAGCTGGGTGGGGAAAGTCAATGGCTCTTTTACTCCAGCCTCTGGAAGTAGCTGGCTTTGATATCCCTGGGCCGGTCCCTCCAGAGCTCTCTGCTGCCTTTTCCCCAGGGAGATCATTACATTTCCATCCCTCCCTAGAGTGTTGCCAGGCTTAATTCATCGGGGTAAAGTGCTGGCAGATCCCCAGATGGTCCCGGGGTGTAAAATCTCTATCTGGGTAGAGATGGATGAGGGTGGATAGGGCTGGACTGATCAATACAAGGCGAGCTGTGAGGCGGCGCGGGAAGGGTTAACCGGAGAGGAAAGAGGGGCTGGGCTAGCGCTGGCTGGAAGGGCAGGAGCCGAGTATAAAAGCAACAAGCAGCCGGAGGCATTTCATCAAACCAGCCCCAGAACATGGCTGTGCCGCGGCCCGCGGGTCTCTGATCGGCCTCCACCCCAGACGCAGCTGCCACCTGCAGCACTCCCTCGCTGGCGCCCTGCCTGGAAAGGTGGCGAGCACAGAGAAGAAGCAACAGATCCCCGTGCCCCAAGCCCGGGAAGCCAGCGCCTGCTGGGTGATGCAAGAGGATACTTTGGGTGTGAGGAAGCTACAGCTGCCACAGCCCAGCCCAGCCCCACCAGATCGCCTTCCTCCCTCCTGCCGAGGCAAAAAGTGACCGTGAGTTGGCAGCGAGCGATAAACAAGCGGCTCCTGGATCCCACCCATCCACGCGTGTGAGCTCGTCTCGGGGCTGAAAAAAATCCAGCCTCGGAGAGAGAGACACACACAGAGACCGGGCAAGTCTCCTAGCCAGTGTGTTTACAGCGCCTCCGCCTGAAACTGACCCGGCTCCCAGATCCTAGCGACTCCCAAGCCAACCTTCCGCTCCCTTCTCTCCACGAAGCGCACCTGGAGGGGAAATCCAGCCGAGTTTTGTGTTTCTTCCTCAGCATCCATCCAGGATCCCGATGCATCCGGTGCTGTCTGCTGGGAAGCGGATTCTATGGAGTGTCTGACAGCAGATGAAGGTGGAATAAACCAAAGCCAGCCGTTCTTGTTGGTTCTTAAGCCTGTCTTGGAGGGAAGTATAAACACAGGGAACCAACTACTCTAAATATAGACAGGACCAGGTCTCTACTCCTCTTGTGTATGTGAGAGAGAGAGAGACAGAGATCTTCCCGGAGCATAGATCTTAGTCACTTTCCTTCCAGCTCTTCCAAACTTTAAGATCTATTTGAAAGCAGAGCAAAGCTCTCCCATCTTTTCCCAAAGACTCCGATTTTTGGATTGATTTTTTTTCTTTTTTCTTTTCTTTTTTTTTGCCTTCGCCAGCAAAGAGAGGAAGACCGACACTTGCTGCTGCTATCGAAATCTCTCCTTTTCTCTCTCTTTCTTCCTCAGATTTGTTTTTGTGGCTTGCCCAACAGCCACATCTATTTGTTCCCCTAATCAAAGTGCCTTTGCCACTACTTTCCAGCCTGCATCTCAGTGGCAGGAGCTTCTGTCACTGTTCTTCTTCTCTTCCTGGTGGGGATTTCCTTGTTGCTGCTTCCTGGTGTCTGGAGCAAGGGCGCCAGGCCATTATATTGTCCCCTACCTTCTCTCCAAAGCAACCACCTGTGCCCCGTCTCCTCCTGCGGAAAGGGATCGATGAGGCAGCCAAAGGGCAGAGTTGTCTGAGGTTGGGGAGAGAGAAATCTGAGCTTCTCCCAGGCCTCTCCCCACAATCGCCCTTCCCTCCCAGCTCCTCACTAGAGGAAGGGTGTTTAGAGGGCATTTCCCATCCACCTAAATCTATGATCAGCTCGGTGTGTGTCTCATCGTACCGTGGGCGCAAGTCTGGGAACAAACCACCCTCTAAAACATGCCTGAAGGAAGAGATGGCCAAAGGGGAAGAGTCGGACAAGATCACCATAAATGTAGGGGGAACCAGGCATGAGACCTACAAGAGCACATTGCGGACGTTGCCTGGCACCCGCCTGGCTTGGTTGGCCGACCCCGATGCCCAGAGCAACTTTGACTTTGATGGCAAGAGCAACGAGTTCTTCTTTGACCGCCACCCGGGCATCTTCTCCTATGTGCTCAACTACTACCGCACGGGCAAGCTGCACTGTCCCGCCGACATCTGCGGGCCCCTCTTTGAGGAGGAGCTGACCTACTGGGGCATCGACGAGACCGACGTGGAGCCCTGCTGCTGGATGACCTACAGGCAGCACCGCGATGCCGAGGAGGCGCTGGACATCTTTGAGAGCCCCGAGCCCGGGGCAGGGGGAGAGGAGGCCGAGGAGGAAGGGGGCAGGGAGATGGCCCTCCAGCGCCTGGGCATGGACGACAGGTCGCCGGGGGCTGCTGGGGCCACAGGAGGGGGTGGATGCTGCCGCAACTGGCAGCCTAGGATGTGGGCGCTCTTCGAGGATCCCTACTCGTCCAGGGCAGCAAGGGTGAGTTTGCGAGAGACAACCCCGGGGGTGGGGGTGGGGGGTGGAGAGAGGGGGATCGGAGCAGGTGCAGGGTCATTGACATGCATTGGTTCCCCCCTCATTGATCTGCTCCCTGGGCGCATTGGTTCACCCTGTCATTCATCTACCACCCCTCCATGGGTGCCTTGGTTCACCCTGTCATTCATCTACCACCCCTCCATGGGTGCCTTGGTTCACCCATTCATCTCCCCCATCCCACCTGAGCTGCATTGCGGCCCTCCCCATGTTTCCCCCCTGAGAGATGCTGACTCTTCCTCCCTCCCACCACCCATGCTCCTCTCTAACTTCCTCTACTCCAATTCTCCTGCCATGCACAGAGGGTGGTTTCACCCACCGAACGATCAGCAGCCAGCCCCCGACACATGTCCCCGGCTGCCATCCCACAGCCGGTGGGGACCGAAGGATTGCCAGGGAGAGTCCTTGCCAGCCCTAAGTCCTGGCAGAATTCCAGGTGGCACCAGAGGCAGGTGGATTATCCAGTTCCTCTTGTCGTTCTCGGTGGATCTACGTGCTGAAAGCGGTGTTTAATGTCACAAGGTTACAGCAGGGAGTCCAGGACTGGAGTGCTCTCACAGCCATGCCCACCGACATGGACAGACCCACAACACACCCCCACAAAGCCTGTCTCTCTCACACACACATCTGTGCACATTAAGGGGACTCATGCAAACGCACCCACCCACACCCATCTGTACATATTCAAATACATGGAACATCCCCATACAAACTCTCCTGCCTGTTCCCTCACTCCCGCATACCAGCATCCGTACTGATTAACACACTGGCACAGACACACCCCCATATGCATGAACACAGACCCCGTCCGTGTGTACACAGCAACACAGACACACACATAGTGTATCCCTACCCAATCCCACAGAAGTTCAGCTGCACCCATCTTCATCCTCCCCCACACCAGCATGTGCCTTTCTTCACACACTCCTCTCCAAACCCACACACTACCAACTCATATAAACACACACACATGTGCTGCCACGCACGTCCCCATCTACCCCTGCTCCCTTGACCGCTCCTGTTCGCACGTCCGTTTCCCTAGTCACACCCAGTTCGTAAATACCAACAGGCTGACACACTTCGGATCTAAAAGAGTTTTTGACATTTTGGAGGTGCAAAAAGGAACAGCAACAAAAAATAGACTCTAAGCTCCAAGCCTGCTCCTGGCAGGAACCACACTCAAACCCAGAGAGTGAGATGCTCCTCGAGAGTGTTTCCTTTCAACTAAAAGGGAAACCCAACAGACGCCAGAATAAAATGCTTAGGCAGCGACAGCCTTTCCAGAGAAACCTGCTCTAAAGAGGGAACCAAATCTCTGTCTCGGCTCTGAGAGAGATCTGGCTTTGAGAGCTGCTCTAAAATAGACTCTGCTGAAAACAATTGCCTCGGAGTTTTTTGTACTGCATTTCCCTCACCCTGAGCTCCTGTTTTCCCCCTGCCAGGCTGGGGTGCTGATGATGGAAACCATGCATTTGGTATTTTTTATGACTACTTCAAGCCAGCAGGTGTGGCAGCACCAATGCTGCCAGGGAGCCTCGGGCATAGCTCACTGGGAGCAGAGGTTGATGTCCTGGGTGCAGTGGCTGGGAGGCTATAGAGCAGCTAGGTAGACAAGTGACTGTAAAAATGGCTCCTTCTTACCCTTTATAATAGGAGTCTACTTAGCATAGAGCTGCAATGATCTTGGGTTCTTTTCTGTAATGCTTTCCATTCCTCTAGCTCACAGCATTTTGCAAAAGTTTGGGATGGCAAACGGTACTTTTTTCAGGGAAACCGAGGCACCGAGCAGTGAAATCACCAACTCCAGATTGCTCAGCGCCAGGAACAGAACGTGGGTTCCCTGATTCTCAAGTCAGTGACTGATCCCCTGGACCACAGGCTCACTGGCACAGAGTAACTAAAGGAGGTAGCCATGGTGGGTGGTTAAAGGATGGGGTGCGAACTGGGGCCACATCCTCAGCTGGAATAAACGGCATCGTTCCAAAAAGCCACACTGGAATTTGGGGGTGTTTAAACTGGGGCTTTGTTTCCAACCCATCTTTAGGTCTCATAGTCACCTTTACTCTGACCTACATCAGTAGCTGTAATGAAGTCAATGGAGCTGTGCTGAGGATCCAAACCTCTTTGTAACCTGACAGGCTGGGGACTAGAAGAGCGTTTAAATACATGCTGAAATCTGATTGGGTTCTAAAGCCCTTCTCGAGCCAGGCCTTGGTATTCCACCAGCAGGATTATAAACAAATGCTTCTGCCTACTGGACTCTGTGCTTGGAGGAGAAGGAATGGGAGAGTGTGACCAGCAGGTCCCCTCTGACATCTGTGTTGTCTTGGCAATGAGTTTTGCAATCCTACGCTCTTTGTTGGGGCAGGACTTGTCAGTGCTTGGCCTGAGTCTCCTCTGCCTCACCCTGATGTAAATCAAGAGTAACTCCATTGGATCTCATGGCATTATGCCAATGTAGTGTGAGAGGAGAATGAGGCCCACACCCCATTTATGCCATACACCATTTTACCACTGCTGAATAGGACCCATTGAGTGGAATTGCACCAATTACACCGGCGTAAGCGAGGTCAGAATTTGGCCCAAGTTGTTTCTTCAGAGGATGTAATTGACTTGGTAGGGCCAGGGAGAGCATATGTGGTAACCTGTTTGATGTGGAGGTGACTCCCCTATAGCTATATAGGATATATAGGTACAGGGCCATACCCTCAGCATGTGTCAATCAGTGTAGCTCTATTGAAGTCTTTGCACAGTGAGTTTTGGCTCTTTATTTGACTGTGGGAACGAGAGGGGAAAGGAGAATATGTTATACCTAAGCCTCAGCAGGCCACCTCCTCAGTGGATGTAAATGAACATACCTCTGCTGCAATCAGTGGAGCTAGACTGATTTACATCCCTCATTGGGAGTAATTCCCCACTGGCTTATGCCTTGTAAAGTCTCTGACAATGGTGCAAAGTGAGTGTAAAAACTCGACCAAGTCAGAATGGTGGTGTTTATGTAGCATCTTTCATCCTGAAGGATCCCAAAGAGTCTTACAAAAATGTGGATTGAATTCTGCTTTACTTACACCAGTGTAAATGCAAAATAAGCCCATTGAAACCCTTGGAGTTGCTCCAGATTTCTAGCAGTGTCGCTTAGAAGAATTTGGCCCTTTATAGAAAATTTGTCACCCACCACCAAGATACAGTCACCTCCGAGGTGGAGCATGACAGCATGTAGTAACACTCCCTGAAATATGGGAGCAGGAAGCCTCCAATATCCACATGAAGTAGAAGGGAGACTTTGTCTTTGTCTTATGGTAGCACCTAGAGGCCTCATGGTGCAAGGAACTGTACAAATACTGTTCACTAAAACAGTTCCTGTCTGTAGAGCTTATGATCTAAGCAGACAAAACAAGTAAAGGAAGGATTACTGTTCCCATTGTAAAGGAGCTGAGGTGTAGGGAAGTTAAGTGATTTGCCTAAGGTCACACAGGGAGTCAGTGGCAAAGCCAGGAAGCTAGTCCAGATGTTTTGAGTTGCTGGCTAGTGCCGTAGAGAGGAAGGATGGTCCAATGGTTAGAGCACTGGCAGAGGACTTGGGAGAACTGGACTGAAGACACTGCTCCACCCCAGATTTAGCCTATCTCTGTCTTAGTCCCCCTTCTGTACAATGAGGATAATAGCACTGCCCAATAACAGGGCCATCTAAGTACTATAGAAGGCTAATCATGAGGCTGTCCTTCCCTGTGTGGATCTGCTGACTCAGTCTGTCCTGGGGCTGGCATTACCCCGGTCAGGTGAAAGGGAGGGTGTGTTCCCGAAGTGACAGAGTGGCTCCGAGGCTGCTGATGTGAGCTGAACCCTGAGTAAATCTAGTGCACTCCAGTGCTGGTGGGGAAGTGATGGACGTGTGGTCACAGTAGCTCGACTCACACATCCCACCTGACCTGCAGGCCTCCTCGCCAGCGGCCGAGCATTCAGACACCCTGAGTTTGAGAAATAGATTGCTCCCACCGAAGCTAAGCAAAAAGTAAACAGGATGGAGGGGTGGGGAATGGAGCTGATGAGAACTACCTGTTGCCTAGCTACGGGCCTGTTTCCTGCTTACTCAAGTCCTGTTTCACCAGAATCACAAAGTCCAGGGTGTCTGGACTTGGGAGCCAGCTGATGGCTTCCATCTCCCGCCCTGTTTGTGGCCCCGGTGCCCCATCTTAGCCTCTTGCAGCGCAGTGCTATTGCCACATGGTGCCAGAGTCTTGCCTGGTTACCTCTGTGCGCAGCACAGTTTTTCCATTGTTAGACTGTAGTTTAGGTCCCTAGGACTGATGCTGTGTTGCGATAGGCAGGCAGGTCTGCTGCCTGCTTTATCTCAGCCCATCCAGCCCGTGCCTCGCATGTCAAATTTATTAGATTTCACTCGTTGATGTAACCAATAATTTAGGATCAGCTGGAAAAAATTATCCTTTGGATTTCTGTCAAAACATGCCAGTGTATGAAGATCACATCTGCCCTTCTATTAGCTGCCTCTGTTGATGGCAGGGCAGAAGCCAGTTATTTAATTCATCTGGGAGCCTGATCTTTTCCTTCCCAACAGCAGTGTCTTTCTGGATGTTTTTTCTCAATGGGTGAGCATGAGATGGGCTGTGACGTTTTCCCAGGGCAGTTCAAAGGAAGCAGACTGAGGCTCCCTGATCTTGGAAGCCAGGTGGGACAAGTGCACGGCCTAGGTCCACGGTTGGAGGCATCTGTGATGCTATGTGAAATGAGGCGCCGGTGTGGCTGAGATTAGAGATAGGAGGTGACCGAGAAGGGAGCCTGATTCCCCTCCCAGTGTAAATCAGGTGCATCTCCACTGGGCCTGATTGCTCCCTCACTAACCCCAATGTGAGTCAATTGTTACTCTACTGATGCCAATAGAGCTACACCAGTGTAAAACTAGTGCAAACGAGAGGAGACTCAGGCCC